GCTTGTGTGTGATGTTTTGTTTTCATGATGTTAGGGCTGAGAGGTGATGGGAGGGAGGGGCCGAGCTGCACGCGCTCTGGAGGAGGGAGCGGGGCGTCACTGCTGACGTCAGACAACAAACCTTCATTCCTGAGATTAATTAAGCAACCACTAGGAATTGTACTGCTCAAAGGTTTGCGCACCCTTAGCACAAACTTAAAATGTTATTTCAATTTATGGCTACTGACAAGACTTGTAGTGTGTGCCTTCATTGGAAAATGAAAATAATAAAATGGTTAAACATAAGCTGCTAAGATATTATTAGTAAAAGAAAATGCTATCGGTTCAACCTCCAACCTCTTTCATAACCTCTTGTGTACTATCGTTTCCACTTTTGTGTCCTCTACAATATTTGTAATTTGATATTTATATACACATACTCCCCAGCCACTTTAATAGGAACACCTGTACACCTGTTCATTCATGCTATTATACAATCAGCCAATCATATGCTCACTGTAGTGTCAGATTTCTATTCTTTGCTGACGAGCGTGGAACCTGATGTGATCATCTGTTGTTGTAGTCCATCCACCTCGAGGTTTGAGGTTGTTGTGCATTCTGAGATGCTTTTCTGCTCACCACGGTTGTAAAGAGTGGTTATTTGAGTTACCATAGCCTTCCCGTCAGCCTGAACCAGTCTGGCCGTTCTCTGACCTCTCTCACCAGCTAGACATATCCTTCCCCAGAACTCACTATTTTTGTTTTCTTTTTTTGCACCATTCTGTGAAAATTCTACAGACTGTTGTGCGTGAAAATCCCAGATCAGCAGTTTCTGAAAAAGTCAAACTGGCACAACCAACCATGCCACGGTCTAAGTCACTAAGATCACATTTTTCTCCAGTCTGATGTGTATATTTACATTTAATATGATTTAGTAGTGACATACAACTTTGTCATGCTACCTCGGTTTGAATTTATCACTGATTACTACCTTATTTCATTTAAAATGTGTCTCAGTCAAAATATATGCATTTCCCCTTGCTACTGCATTAAACCACACTGATGGAAGGACAACCTTCTTCCCTAGGCTATAGAAAGACTCTTATTGCTGCTAGATCAGCACAATTCTCCACATGGCTTCCCAATCTTTTTGGTCTCAGCCCCAAATGGACACTGAATTTTCTGCGATCCCGAACCTAGCTCACTGTACATTTTTATATTTCAGATTGATAATTTAGCACATGTAATACACATACACATCTACAGCAACACCACACCCTGCTGAGTATCCCTGACCACAACCCCCCACTGCCTTCCTCTACTGGACCGACCACATCCTCTCACTTGACTGTGACGACCAACCAGGTGAGAAGATAGCTGGAGAGACTTGATCAAGGCAAGGCTGCAGGCCCTGATGGTATTAGTCCTAGGGTTCTTAAGTCCTGTGATACTCAGCTGTCTGGTATCCTGAAGCACATCTACAATCTAAGTCTGATGCAGGAAAGAGTACCGGTGCTATGGAAAGCATCTTGTCTAGTACCGATACCTAAGAAAGCCACCCCATTTTCCGGTTGCCCTGACGTCACATGTCATGAAAGTGTTGGAGAGACTAGTTTTAGCCCATCTGGTGCCACAGGTGAAACCTGCACTGGACCCACTCCAGTTTGCTTACCAGCCTCATGTGGGTATGGATGATGCGGTCATCTATCTGCTGCAGCGTACTCACTCTTACCTGGATGGAAGTGGTGGTACTGTGAGGATCATGTTTTTTGATTTTTTCCAGTGCCTTCAACACCATCCAACCATTCATGCTGAGTGAGAAGCTGCTCAGAATGGGTGTCAGCACATCCACCATCTCCTGGATTGCTGACTACCTGTCAGATAGACCCCAGTTTGTGCGATTGTGGGCCTCTCGGTCTGACACGGTGGTCAGTAACAGAGGAGCACCTCAGGGGACTGTCCTGTCTCCATTTTTGTTCACTTTGTACACCTCAGACTGTCAGTACAACTCTGAATCATGCCACCTGCAGAAGTTTTCTGATGACTCTGCAGTGGTGGGGTGTATTAGGGATGGACAGGAGTCGGAGTACAGGGCACTACTGGATAACTTTGTGGACTGGTGCACTAAGAATGACCTGCTCCTAAATGTGACAATTGAGGAAGTTGGAATTGTTAATAACTACAAGTATTTGGGTGTACACTTAAATGACAGACCGGACTGGAGGACCATCACTGATGCTGTGTACAAGAAGGGAATGAGCAGACTCTACTTTCTGAGGAAGCTCAGATCTTTCAATGTATGCAACAAGATGCTGGAGATCTTCTACCAGTCTGTGGTGGCGAGTGCCATTTACTGTACTGTGGTCTGCTGCTGTGGGCAGCATCAGCGCCAGGGATACCAGCAGGATTAACAAGCTTATTCGCAAGGCTGGATCTATCATTGGACACAAACTGGAGACGTTTGAGTCAGTGAGGAACGGGAGGTCACTGAACAAACTGCTCTCCATCATGGACAATCCGTCTCACCCACTCTACAACACACTACAGAGTCAGTGGAGCTCATTCTCCGAAAGACTCATTCGAATTCGTTGTCACAGAGAACGTTACAGGAGTTCATTCTTACCATTCGCAATAACATTGTACAACAGCTCACCTGTGTGTGACAGATGATAACACTTTCACATTACACTACTACAAGAAAGCATTGATTTCCTGACACAGCTTTATAAAAGCGAAGTCAGGATGTTTGTTTGAAAGGGCGCGTCTCATTTTCGCTGTCACGTGCAGCTTCGAACGATACGTAATAAATAAAACACGACATAGACGTGTTGTTATAGGAAAATAATCCATGCCGGTGTGGTGTGATACGCCCCTACACAAAGCAGAGTCACTGTTACCATCCCGAAGTGTGTTATTCCTCTTATACTTCTTACTTGATGCCACACGCGAGGCATGTTGATTTCTAGTCATTATTTACTGTCATGCTTGTAAATCCATGTTTAATAAATGTTTCGGCACATTTTTGTGTTCATCTTCTTGACTCCTGTTTTTCCATGATGTTGTTGTTGAAATAACGGAGATAGATGCATGGTAAAATTTATACTGCTGAATGTTTTTATTGCTGAACTCGTACGCTAGTGCAGCATCTCAAAGTAGCAAAACAAACAAACAAACAAAAACAGCAGATACACTCTTAAATGTGCCTTATTTGAATGAACAACATTTCAAAATAGTAGCGCACAAAATCTGTTGGTTAGAGCAACATTCGCAATAATAATCTGTAAAACAAATGAATAGAAACAATAGAGGAGACTGTTTTGGAAACCCTTACTCTGATCAAACTATTAATTTAAAAATAGTAGATCTAGAACTTTCTGTCAAAAAAGAGGAGAAACTATCATTTGATGTTCAAAATAATCGCATAATTTCTGCATTTTCGTTTCATGCCTGATTACTGCTAACAGCCAGGAAAACAACAAGCAAGCATAATGTTGCATTCAATGCTGCATTGGAGGTTGCGACACCTCCGACTAGGAAAAAAACAAAGAAAATGCCCCTTCAACTTGAAATTCCTACTCGGGAACTCAAGATGGTCTCCTCAACTCTGAGTTCAGCAAGTGACGTCAAATCAACATGGCGGCTCACAGCATCAGCAGTAAACAAAGTAGCACTTCTTAACTTCAAATGAATTGTACTGTATATACAAGCATTCGCTTTAGAATAATCAACATACAGATATATTCTCTTGTTAAATCTATAACACTGACGATACAGTTCACTGTTTTGAAGAAAATAAAACCACTCATCACTGTTAGCTAGCTTCTTGCTAACAAAACATGAATACGTCCATGTTTTTTCCTACTTTGTAGCAAATGCATAGAGGAAATGAAGTAAGTGAGGTAATTCCGAGCTACGGCTTCCCACTTCCAAAGTAAGTCGGATACAGGAAAGAAAGAAGCAATACACCTGAGAGAACACTAATCCTGATCATGGAAGGTGTAATCCATGAGCTTGACAATGTAGTTACAGAGACCAGTTTACTACTCAGTCATGACCTTCCTATGCGCCATTGTCCTCATGAGGTCAGAGTGGGGCCGTCCTGAGATCTGGAATTTCACTTAGCATGCAGAGGCTTTAGTCCACATAAACCTTACGAGATGACAGGCCAGATATTTCCCCATGGAGCATAACTGTCCTTGCACATACTCCCATCCTGACTGACCTGACGAAACCCAAAACCCAGGGTGAAATCCAAGGCCTCTGGAACATTCTGGCTGCATCTTACAAGACAGTGCCATGTCAGTATCAGTGAATTTAAACTGTCAAGACACAAGAAAATAACAAAACCAGCTGTCTGAAATATAACAACTGACTTCTAATTGAGGCACAGGTACACACGTACACACACACACACACACACACACAGGCCTGACTATGACCATAAACAATGTCCTGATAACACCACACCTTAGCACTCAGGACAAAAACATATCACCTAATCACCACACACAAAATACTGACCAGCAGGATTGATCTTTCATTATCTGTACCTTTAATAAAGCCATCCTGGATATGTTGATTTCAGAAATTATTTACTGGACTATTTAACTTATGACTCTACTAACTAGCTCATGTACACTATGCGGCCAAATGTTTGTGGACACTTGGCCATCACAATCATATGAGCCTGTTGAGCATACCATTCCAGATTTAGTCCCCTTTTCTGTTATAATATCCTCCACTCTTCCCGGAAGGCTTTCCACTAGATTTTGGAGTGTGGCTGTGGGGATTTGTGTTCATTCAGAGCATTAGTGAGGTCAGGCACTGATGTTGTGTGAGGAGGTCTGGGGTGCAGTAAGCATTCTAGTTCATCCCAAAGGTGTTCAATGGGGTTGAGGTCAGGACTCTGTGCAGGACACTCGAGTTCTTTCACTCCAAACTTCACAAACCATGTCTTCATGGAGCTCGCTTTGTGCACAGGGGCATTGTCATGCTGGAACAGGTTTGGGCCTGGGTTTGGGGACAGTCATGGCCTAATGGTTAGAGAGTCTGACTTATAATCTGAAGGTCGCGGGTTTGAGTCTCAGGTCCGGCAAGGATTGTAGGGATTGTAGGTGGGGGGAGTGAATGACCAGTGCCCTCTTCCACCCTCAATACCACGACTGAGGTGAGACCCTTGAGCAAGGCACCGAACCCCCAACTGCTCCCCGGGCCCCGCAGCAAAAAAGGCTTGTCACTGTTCCGGGTGTGTGTGCGCGCGCACTTGGATGGGTTAAATGCAGAGCACAAATTCCGAGTATGGGTGACCGTACTTGGCCACACGTCACTTCACTTTCACTTTTTAAAACACTAGCTTGCTCTCCAGGAACTGTTCTGCTGAGTGAGAAATGAACTAAATTGAACTACGCTTTTCCCAAACTCATACTCGTGACGGATGTTGACAGTTGACTGTGTCAGCAATTCAAAATGAAGTTCTTAGCGTACTTAGCGAATGTTGCTCAGTTCGCTGCCTTTGATAAATATCTGTATACCATTCCAGGTGATGACCTGCATTCCTCATTTCTACATATAGTTAGCCATCTTTGACTTGTCGGATTATATCGTTCATAGTTTCACTGACTGCCATGCTGCAGATTCCCTTGTTCCGGTTGCAGCAGTTGTTTCTGGTAGGCTTGTCACAATTTATGATTTTGTAGTTGCCTAATCGCAATTATCATGAGCTACTCATGATTATTTGAAGTGACCATGATTAAACGATAGATTCCACAGTCATACATGTTTATTAGGCTTTAACGTTACATTGTGACACGATGCATCACGGTGTAAAAAATGTGATGATGTGCATCATGGAAATGTGCAATATCAGCATTCTATTGCAAATGCAATTGCACTGTTTGAATACCAATCTCTGCATCACATTAAAATACAAAACACTGGTCATGTGATCAAGTTCTTTTGTGGTGAGCCTGCGAGGTCATCTGTACTTGTGAAATGACTGATATCCCAATAGCTCCGAATTGCAATGACCAACACGCCATGAACACGTTATAATCGTTAAAAAAACTTTTCAGTAGCTTTCAGAAAACACAATCCCTACTCCTCTGTGATCTACGCTGCCCGAGAAAGGCACCATGGAAATCTGGCATTTTAGTCGACTTTGGAGCTCTATTTGTGCCGCTCATTATGTTATATTTATTTATTTTTGAGATATTGTGAACCTGTAGTACCTTTTGTTCACAATATTAAAGTTCTGTTTGTAGGGATTTTTAAATTTATTTAGTTTTATACAGACAAAAATGCACATTGTTTTGCGTTGTTCATTATACAGAAATATTTTCTACTTTTCAGTCACAATTTGTCTTCATTTGAATTTTTTTCACATTTTCTGAGAATAGAATTGAATAGAATAGTGAACACAGTATAATGAATCAAATCAAACTGTGACCAGAGTAATCAATTTGCTAGCTACATTATGATATTTTAATCATTATTCTTGATTACAGACTTTTTAAAAAGCACAGCATGTTGTTCACTAGTAAATTCAAAAACTGTAATTGTTCTCAAATCGCTGTGGTATAAGAGGGGGAAAAAAAACACGTCAAGATGTCCTGTTGTAGGAAAATAATCCACAGTATTTCCACAGTATATAACAGTAACTCCACTTCACGTCGGGCCACATCTCGCCACCTCGTCGTTGATCACGTTCCTATAACCACACACCCTATCGTGTTTTATTCCTTATATATCTTCCCTGGATCTCTACACTGCAATTCTTACGGTCTAGAAAGCAAAAGGAAATTCTGACACTAATGTTATGCTTATAAGAATAGTATAAAGATAAATAGAAAAAACAATTAAATTGCTGACAGCAATGATTTATATTAGGGCTGTACAATATATCGAAATTATCGAAATATCGCAAATGTAAATATCGCGATATGCATATCGCAAGGGCTTGTGATAACGGAATGATTTTAATGCTTCAAGAAGTTATGAAAAATTCAAAGTTTTAGGGTGATGCAGACAGCAGAGATTGGCACCTATATTGGTGTACTGGCACCTCTAACAGCTCTATATAATGACTGGATTCTGATGAAAGAGTCTGATAAATTACTATATCTAAATGTTAGCGATTATATGTAAATACAGTAACATGTAAGACAACGTATACTGAGATCAAGACATTTCTTAAGCGCCTAAATCAAGGTTTGTGAAGTAAAATATTTCCAAATGATGCCACTGAACAAATGGTGCCCCAATGACATTTCTATATAAATATATAAATATTAGAAATCGTTAGAATTAGCAAAATACATTTTGAAGACCTGAAAATCAAACAGTAAAGAGAACATTCGGAAGTGCGGCCATTTCCAGTGTAAAGCTGCACTGGAATGTATTTACATGTCATATTGTGTCCTCTGGGTGGAGTAGCAAAAAAAAAAAAAAGGAACGCTCACTACACTGTTGCTCCTGACGTAGTGACCGCTCAAGAAAACCTTTACGCCACACATGCAAAGCATGTACGAAAAAAGACTGCGCTGCGTGACGCAGGTTACAAATTGCAAGTGCATGGAAAGAGGAGAAAATGCCATGAGCCAAGGTTAGTGTTGCTGTTACATCAAAATGTTAAGCTTGAATATCATTCTCAAATGATATTAACAGTCAAGAAATGATGTCTAGATGCAGACAAGGACACAGAGATGCAGGAAATCTTTCATCGTCCTCTCTAAATGTAAATAAATAACGTAAAGAAATACAGAAACGGCTTTGAAAAACTGCCTAAGCTTTTTCTTCCATGGATGAAGGACTGGTTGGTGTGCCGAAGAATCAGTACAGGAAAGAAACACATTGTAGTGATATTCAAGAAAAGCACCAAGAAAATATTCAAATATCTGATGGTGAGGTCGCTGAACCAAGGACGCTTTCGAAATCCGGCAGGAAAAACACAGTAATCAAATTCTCTTGGGCTGCGTGGGTTAACTCGGAAGTGGGAGGTCTGAACTGCGCTGATTTTCGAGCTCGCCGTGTTCGTGCTACCATGTGGGGGGGAAAAAAAACATGGACGCCTCTATGACAGCGTGTGCTTCGTTAGCGACGAAGCATCACTGAACATGAGTTTATGATGTATTTCCGTTCTCAAAACCCCGAACTGTGTAGTCAGTGTCATAGATTTATGAAATAATCAATATGTCTGTGTCGATTGATCTTAATTAAATTATATTATAAACTCTTTAAAGCAGTGAAGTGATATTTTATTTACTGTTGAAAGTGTGAGCGGACATGTTGTCATGACGTCATTCCTTCCTAAGTACGGATTCCAAATTAAGGAGGAATTTTTGTAGTCGGAAATTCCGAGATAGGAGATGTAGTCGAATGCGGAATTGCGGAATTACCTACGATGGAACTGGGGTGAATTCTCCCGTTTTATACCCAGTGTTCCCGGGATCTACCATGACCCTGACCAGGATAAGGCGCCTACTGAAGATGGACGAATAAATATCTTAAAAGGCTATAACAGCAAGAAAAAAAAAATTCAGATGTGCCCTAATAAGATCTCTACTCCTCTATATTGATTACTGTTTAATGCGCTTTGCGTTATTTATTGATTGTTTCAGAATATGGAATTATTTTTTTTTAAAAAAGGATTTTCTACTCACTCCGTACAAATTTCCAGATCTGCTAAGAGCAATGTCAAAAATTCGGTTACTGATTTGTAGATTAAAAAAAACATACACATTACTAATAAAAATTCCTACAAGTTTCCTTTTCCAGTCTTTCAAACACATAGCGTCTCACTTCAGCTGTCTAAAATTGACTACTCAAGGAGACAACTGTAATGCAAGGGACGAATGGTAAAACACTGAACCGTAAATTATACGTAAACAGCACGGGGCAGGAAATTCTCAATTAACAGCAGTCTGAGGAAACCTGAGTAAAGGCCGAGACTGGTTGGACTCGCTTGCTCAGTAGAAGGCGATACAGGAGGGAAGCACTGAAGTGTGATGTCAACACAACACAATACAGATGCTCGAACATAATACATCCAACATAATGCACCGGGAGGCCACGTCATAAACAAACACACTTGCTGTGGACGTCTCTGCAGTTCAGGAAAGAGGAAAGAAGTCTGATGCCTGGTGGCACAAGAACACGCCCCGAAAACCAGACCACAACATCGAACCAGGTTTCCTCCACAGTTTAAAAAAAATAATAAATCAGTATTGTAGACTTAGGACCTGATTTCTTAAGATATTATTATTTCATTTCTTTTTTTTTTCCATGTTCTACTGGTCACATTACCCACAGTCAGGAACCTGGAGGAGCCCTAAATGATAGCGCAGGAAGTTAAAATGCAACAAGACGCAAAGCATCAGGTGCTCGTAGAAGGAGAACTTTCTGCTCCTGCCAGTTTTCTATATAATTATTGGGTACATCTGGGGGAAAAAAGCTGGCAAAGAAGGTGAGAGATTTTTTTTTTTTGTACCTTCTGGGCTGAGATCGGCGATCATCTTCCCCGCTGCCAGACTCCTGGTTGAAAAAGAGAAGAGCAATTAAAACCAGACATTATGTTAATAATGTTAAAAACAGGACCTTTAACAGAACACCTAGGGGAAGCGCTCATCTTTAATGGTTTAATTCGTAACATGTACGGTACGAGCTTGTTGCTAGTCACACAGCTTTTCGCATCTGAATAAAGCATTACAAAATGCAGAAAAGGGGTTTGTTCATCGTTCGGATCATGTATCTGAAATGTTATACTTATGACTATCACGTGAACGCTAATTACTCGGGACTATTGCCTGTTCGTTTTCTGTTAACGAGACGACGTAATGGAAACGTTTCCTCGTATGCTTTTGCTGTTTATAGAAATAAAGAACACAGACTTCCTGGCTGATTTCCAAACCATGAAAAACCTTTCAAAGCTCACTGTGACTCTGCTTTGCATGAAGCCCTATTTGCATCCAAAGTCATGTGGGAACGGCCAGAGAGTCTGCACCTGAAAGGGTTCGCGCCTGACCTCCTGCACTCCCGAAACCTTTGTCTCGGGTGCAGATAAGCACTCAGACTCATACACACTCTCTCACACACACACAT